CACATTTATTAATGGTATAAACCAACAGTATTTTTGATTGAATGATATTCCAAATACTTTGTTGATATATTTAAAAAATTGTTCTACGGCTATGGAAATATTGATTTTTAAATAATACTAAATGACACACAACACACAAGGAAATGGTTGTAAAATACTTTTATTCTGAATGGCCAGTCAATCTTGCAACATGCACGTAAAATAAAGACCAGAAACAAGCAGCACATTGTGATGCAACATTTACTTTAAGAATGTATTTAAAGAAAGCAACAGACACATGTGCCCACTGGGATCCTAATTATTTCTTTGTGTGCTTTTTAATTCTTAATTTTTATGACATTAGATTCACTCTTCAGAGTTCGTACGCATCCTTAAATTCCTTGAATGTCCTGGAAAAACAAATGAGCATTTTCCAGTACTGGAAAGTCCTGGAAAGTCCTGGAAATTTCAGATTGTCCTTGAAGGTCCTGGAAATTTGATCGTTTACCATTAATTGCTGTACTACAAGTTGCCTAGTAACAGTAAACTGAATGAGAAACGTTCCCACAAGTAGGTCCCCACAATACTCTCGAGAGAATCAGGTCAAGTCTTTGTACGCCGCCAATTCAGGAATGTTATCAAAGACAGAAAGAATGTCATTGCTGAAAATAGCCGACTGGCTGGTTCTGACCAATGTAATTCAACAGAAGGATGCACATCTCCGCTCTCGAACATAGCGCGTGTGTACAGTACTTTGATCTTTACTGTGGCATCGACAATCCGATACTAGTTGCGAGTACAGCCGTCAATTATTAGTCTATGCGTGCTATTCGTTTTATGGTGTTAGTTTTTATTTTATTAATTTTGGGTACTTCGCAATGTCTGTTACATCTGATTTTTTTGATGGCGAGCTTGTTAAATGCTTCTATATAAACTGCAATTTGATTTGTGAAAATTGACCAAGAAAATGAAAAGTTATAGCAATTTAAAATTTACAAATTTTATAAAATTTCATGTTCTTATGTAACATTAATCTGTCATTTTGACAATGTTGGCATGCTAGATGTTTAAATAAGGTAAAGAAACACTTAATTAAAGAGGTAAAATTCATAACTTTATGGCAGTATAAAAATGTTTCTCATTTTATATCTACTAAGGATCAAACCCCTAAGGAGTACAGAAGTTCTGTTGTCTATC